TTTCAGGAACGGTACATTATAAACAAATGAAGTAGTACAGGAGTAAATCGTAAGAATATTGGAAATTGCGGTTAGGGTGGTAGGGGAGATCCAAAACCATTTGATGTAAGGAGAGCCAATTGTTGCTGCTTGTTATTTCGCTTATGGGCGACCATTTTCAGTCTTTCGGTTCGAGCAGATGCGCCGTCACCAGCGATCTTTTCGTACGCGGTTGCACAGTGCCGACGATTATTTGACATTGCTGTGGAGATGGGCCATGAGATGAGTGTGCTGGATGTGGGCGATGGGTTCCCAAGTGTGACCAACGCTTATGGTCTATCGTTCGGGCAGGTTGCTAGAGCTCTCAGTGGCGCTGTTTCGCTGTTCTTCCCGCAAGAACGATTTCCTCATTTGCGTGTTATTGCGGAACCGGGCGCATATTTCGCTTCATCGCCTTATCTCTTGGTTACTCGTGTCGTCGACAAACGCCTGATTGATGCTAGTTTGCTCACTAGTGATGGTTAGTTTGCGATATGAAAACCCTTGAAGAAATGTTTGCTCCGGTTTTGTAGATTTGAGAATTCTTCCGGGAACTGAGCTTTCGCAGTCAGACAATGAGAAATTAAAAGGCTTGTTCTAGCAGTACCATCTTTTGACTGCTTCAGTTACAGATATTCGAGGTGTTTTGGATAAAGTAGCTCGTGGGAAATATTGCTGCTTCTGGCCCTAGTAATAGCTTACATATTTTCCAAAGTTTCAGAGACAGATGCTGGCACTGTTGGATACGTTTACCAGATCAATGAAGGATTTTACGGCGCATTCGGCTGTCGATTAATCACTGGTCGTAATCCCAGATGTTCGCCGCTGATCGCTTTTGGGGAAAAATTGAACACATATGCAGCAGTGTATGGGCCTACGACATGCGACACTGACGTTGTTCTCCCTTTGACGAGACTTCCGCCACTTCAGGTTATCATACCTTTTTTGCGCTATGTTTAGGCAAAATTTGCACTGTTGCCTTCTTGATTTCTGAGGTCTCGAGTCTGTTAGGCTATTTCTTTGAAAGCATAGGTGTATTTGAAACTGGAATTTTTGTTTTGAGCAGCAGTTAGGCAGGAACTGCATTTTTACATCGGGAAATTATGCATGGGAAAAATGAATTTTAGGTTGGTGATTGGCTTGTTTGGTACGATATGGGAGCGTACACAATGGGTAATTGTGAGACGTTAAAGGAAGGCGAACTTCGTTCAGCCGCAATTCATTACTTCGAGAATACTGGTTCAAGGTGATCCTTTTTAAAAATTTTGTTTTGCAACGTACCTTTTCAAGAGATTTCTGAAAGCAGATATCCGAGCAGCCGAACTGTAAATTACCTTGGCAGAAAACTGTACCATCACTTTAATTTATTTACTTGACGTAATAATGGCAAATTTAAGTGCGTGATTAAAAAAACGGAGGTTAATTTGCTCAATAGGGGTCGTTTCGAAACTTCTCTCCACCCTCTTTTTGTTTCGTTTGGGGAAATTTACTGGCTAAAATACAAATTAACAGTTGTTTGCATATTTTCACGCCTTCAGTATCACTTTTTGACTATCCAGACTTGGTCGGGAAATGCAGATTTCCCCGTCTGTTGTAATTAATGCACGGGGTGCGATTTTTCTGACTTTTGTTGTTCCTTATTCGGTTTTGCATTCGAATGTTGTGTGTTTTCAAATAAACCGTATTTTCAATCGTTTATCTGGTAGGTGAAAATTTTTATCCCTGTCTTTATATTGAAAAGTTTTTAAGACCGCAGAGATATATTTAAGACTGCAAAAATATATCTTTAAAGCAAGCCGAAATGCTTGAGATGGCAAGTAAAGTTTTATTGGTGACTTTTTCCAGAAGAGTGTGATGAATAGCCTGTTTTCAGAATTGATTTTGTGAACTGTGAATCGCCAAAGAGCACATCTTATCCTGCCATAAACAAAGACGATGAACTGGCCGCAACTGTGGCCAATGTTTTGATTAATGATAATTCGGAATCGGAGGAAAAAAATTAATGCAAAAACGATTCTGATTATCATGGAACATTCTGAAAATGCAAACTGCATTTGTCGAATCTGGAATATTTCTTATGGAAGGACATCGCTGAAGGGTGAACTTATTTAAAAGAACTGCTCTGTTCCAACAAACATTTTTATCTGCACCATAAAGTAGTCAGTATCGGGTCAGTTGTTAAGCACTATAGTCTAGCCACTGGTCACTTTATTGTTCATTTGTGTTGTAGTGATTATGCGTCATTGACATATTTCCGTAACGCATCATTGTCCATCAAACAGGATATACTTCATACATCAGAAATGAACACCTAAATGAATGTTCAAAAAAATAAGAATGGCCCTGTGTGTATGTATGTATTTGAATTCTCGTATTTGGAGAAAAACCTAACTTTTGTTTTGAAAAATAGAGCCAAATCTCAGTGAATCAGGGTAATAAACAGTTGGTTTTTTTCTTTTTTTGGTTTGTTCTCTTGGCTTGTTCTTGTCGATTGCTTGTTATTCCATTTGTCATCGCTGAAGATTAACCGATTTTTATTACTAATTGAACTAGGCTTTATTATTTTGGCTGGAACTGATCCAGGCAATCTCCTATATTAAGAGTGCATTTCTTTGCACAGTCTTCCTCGAAAACATTCAAATCTCCGTTTTTCTTTTCCGGAGTGAGGGATACGGGTGGAAAGGGAATTGGAGCAAAGAGATGGCATAGAGCTCTTTGTTGTTCGTAAAGCAACACGCCACATCGTGCACGGCTTTTTCTGTACGTTTTCCGCTGAATGACTGCAGAAAAATCTGTGAATACGTTTCGTGCAAGGAAGTTTGGGAACAGATCTCTTTTTAACCAAAAAACAGTCTCCGTCAAGTCATTGTTATTTTTAGAATGTTTAAGTCATTTCATCTTTATTGCATAGATGTGGTTAATTTCATGGCTCGCTCGACTCCTTGCATCAGTTCCTTTTTAAAGTTCTTTTTTCGGCTTTTATGGCTGCCAACTCCGCCAGGGAATGCAAATGAAAGACGTCAGTTGAAACGACGCAAATTTGCCGAAGCGGCACTAGAATCAATTTCATAGAGCCAAACTGCATTAAAAAAAAATTGGAAAGTGACATCAAAATATATATCCTAGTCGCTTGAAAAGGGAGAGAGTGGGCGAAAGTGCAAACTGAAAGTGCAATTCTGAATTATATGAACCGGATTTCGCTGTGCAGTACTTTGCGTGAAAATAAAGTCGGTTTTATGCTGTTTGCATTTTATGCAGAAATAAAAATTGTTTTTGGGAGTGTGTGCGCATACACACACAAAAAGGCAAAAAAAGAGTGCACGCACGCAAACAGATTCTCGCATATTTTTGGGAGTGTGTGTGGGTGTTCAAAAGTGCAAGCGAACTTTACCACCCACTTTTAATTCAATAGCGGGGAAGTTAGATGACTGGGATTTTCGGAGCAAATTTGCATTCATTTTAAAGTTATCGCGAGTATGCGTCTAGTTCTCACTTCGGACCCTAAAAAATGTAAATTTTTTCGAGGGGGACGGTTTTCGGGAGTAAGTAGATGCAGGAAGCTGGATCTCTGCACGAATATTGTATCTACATTCACGAGATTAACAGCTGTCGTGCACGCTTACATCATGTGTACGGTCACGTCAAGGTTTGTAAGTTGGCAGTGCCAAAACCCGAGAATTATTAAGGAGATACTTGCTGTAACTTAGACCAAAATATTGTTCTTACCGGGAAATTACAAGATTGAATCGAGTTTCGATTTGCACTTGTGTTACATTTTAGAGCACGTCAGAGGTATTTGTAGCGAAGTGGCGATTTCGTTTAAAGGATAAGTTGCGGAACTGGAAATTTGCAAGGATGCTCCAAAATGTAACACGAGTGCAAATCGAAACTCGATTCAATCTTGTAATTTAACGGAAGAACAATATTTGGTCTAAGTTACAGCAAGTATCTCCTTACTAATTCTCGGGTTTTGGCACTGCCAACTTACATATATTCTTGTTTGGTCTAAATTTAGCTTGAAGACTAAATCTCCTGTGCTAGAGCATGGTGACGCTCAATTTTATTACAAACTTCAAAGTGAGTGCATTTCACCGATTTCATAATTCTTTCCTGAGATTATTCTCACATCTTCCTTTCAATGAACGATCGGTCAAAATTATTCATTCCTCTCCATGCAAAATTGATAATCATGCACATTGGAGCTTCACGCGGCTACATAATGTAACACTACTATCCTGGCCGACGTCTTTTTCCCCTGGGTGCAAGAGAAGGCTAAAATACACTCCACGTGTGTCCACATATTAAAGTGTAATGCAGGAATCTATTCATGTTGTTAACTAACTGACTGCTTCAAGTTTAGCACAAAAGTGTAGCGGCAGGCTTGGTGCATCGCAAATTGGGTTTGTATTCGATTTTGCAGAGCATAGTGAAGACAGTCTGAAGCTCTCTGCTTGCCATTTGAGTAATGTTTCGCTGAGTGGCTGGAATGTCAGAACGTTGGGCAAAGCGCAATGAACGCACACGTAAACGGCTTCTGACCTATTTTTCGAAGTTTGTAGTTGCACCTCGCGCCATCGAAGAGTGCTGTGCTACTGCTCTGTATATGCTGAGGACGAGTTTTGAAAACAGGCTCAACACAGCTGATGAGTGGATGTTTTCACTGGCCAAAACCGGTAGTTTTAATCTTCGGACTGTTCCTTCTGTTACCTCCATAGCGCTTTAACATGCGGTCTCAGTGCGTTGGAGTTATGAGGCGTTTGCATCTCCAGCAGAGTAAATGTGTTTCAAACGAAAATAATTAAGATGTTCATCAGCAATGCTCTTCAATACAAATCAACCAGTCTGATCAACTACAACAGGATAAGCCTTGTGTCTGATAGTGCGAATTTGACATGACAAGAAACTAGTCTGTTTCCTGGCTTAGCAGTTATTTCGCCGCCACATGTCTCTGCCGGCACAGCTCGCGGCCTGTTCATGGTAACTGAGCAGTCACAACAATAAATGCAAAATCAGGCTGGAACGCACCAGGCGGACCGGTGTAATCATGTGTTTTTGCACTGTTTCGTGCCATAGCAAGATCACAACGAATCACAGTTGTTAAAGTTTGTAACATACTGGTTCTTGAAGTACAGAAAGTTAAATGTACAGTTATGTGGCATACTAGTTGTAGATGTCGGCTTTAGTGAATCGACAAATGGAAAGTTGCTGTGCGCGAAAAAGACCCCACTAAAAGAGCTGAATTTGAAATCTTTTAGTCTCACAT